AAGTTCAACAGCCGTCTCCTACAATGCGCGCTCGAGTGGTACTACAGTCAGTTGCAAAAGTGGAAAACATCGTAGGGAAAGCTTCGTGCGGATACTTGCGAGTGTGATATCTAGAACCCCCTCTCCCCCCATACAATGTTGATACAAGTAAAGCCCGAAAAAGATTCGTTAGGACACACACAACATTGTATGGGGGGAGAGGGGGTGGATAAGGCCTGATGAGTCAACTATTTTGCAACACACTGGCGCATCGTCACTGATTTCATGCAGTTTGCACGAAAATCTCACGCGCGTCTAGTAGTGGCTCTTATCGGCATCAGTGGGATGCTACGTGGATGCCCGAAGGATCGGCGGGCCAGAGGTCCGTTACTCCAAGTCTTAAGCATACCTTCCGCGGGTGCGGACACTCGACCCGGATTGTGCGGACATTCGGCCCCGAGGCCTTCAGTCAGAGCCCAAAGTGAGATCCGCCGTCACGAAGACCTAGTATATTATTGAGGGGATAGCAATAAAGTGATGATGATACTTAAGAGCATCCGTGATAATTATGATGATAATATTTATATCGGAGTTATATCATCTCAGATGTGTCAACATCTCAATGATTAAGAGAGGTCGGTAATAATACTCGGTCGAGATCGATAAATACTAGGCCTTCGTGACGAAGGGGCGGAGCTCGCTTAGTCCACGTTTATTGATTGGATCAATGGCTTTGACGTAGGTCCCCGGTTCGATCTCCGGGTTGGACATTTTTCCATCACATCGGAAACCTCGGCATATAGAAGAGTCATTTGATCCATCTGGTGGCCTTTTACACTTCGTAGTTAAGCCAGGATAGTCATATAAGAAGATGTATGTCAGAAGATAGTCATAGTATATTCATATTCTATATACATATTCTATGTATATTCATAGTATATAAGATAGTCATTCATAAGAGTGTTCATCAATTGTCCCTATAGTGTTGTTATCTTTCCTCCCCCCCTTTCTACTTCTACTACTGATGACTGATTGTGCTTTTGGTATAGCCGGTAAAGATTGGGTTATTATTGCTGCGGATTCCCATGTAGAACAATCTATCGTTAAGTTTAAGACTACTGAGGATAAGATATATGAGATGGATAATAATAAGTTAGTAGCAGGTAGTAATAATAAAACTAACAACAACAACAACCGTTATCATCATCATCATCATGACTTGTTGTTATTAGCTGCTGGACCACAGGCTGATAGTAGTCAGTTTTTGGAGTTCATATCTCGTAATGTGGAACTATATGCATTAGTTAATGGTATACAATTAACTACTCATGCATTGGCTAGTTTTACTAGGTACTAATAATAGTAATAGTATGATGTGGAATAATACTCTAACCTCAGGAATGAACTAGCTGATGCATTAAGGAAAGGTCCTTATCAAGTTAATATGTTAATTGGTGGATATGATGATAAAGATGGAAGTAATAATTAGTATTATTATATATTAGTTGATGATAATCCAATTCCTACTTCTAATAGGTGCATCCCTATATTATATGGATTATCTAGCATCTTGTCAG